TTTTAAGATCCTATCACATTTTTAATCAACCGTTTATAAAACATGCATGTATATTGCAACTGCATTAAATGATGACTCATAGCAAGGTTTAAAATTTACGTCAGGCTATTTTAATCTTTTGGACATGTCAAGGGCGAGTAATCGTATTTGATAAAATAATAGTAATTTCAGTACTTGACATCTTTTCGTCATTTTAACTCGATCTAGATCCTCCTCCTTCCTGTTTGGTTTCTCTAAACTGCCTTGTTACAAAAATATTGCTTTACATCTGTTTACGATTATGGGATAGTGTGTATAGAGTATACGATTGCTAGCACACAAGTCACGAGCTCGGTTGAGTCCATAGGATGTCCCTGAGTCCACCCATTTCTGATGTGCACTCATCTCACGTTAGGGAAAGTACAGTCAGATGGGTATAGTGCTGACCACACTATCTCTTCATATGCCGAGGTCACAGAAACAAATTCATTCTACTCTTTTAGCTGCTAGGCCTGTAAGAGTAATACTATTAAAAAAAGGTATCTTACGATGTTTCTGTTCGGATGTCAAATACAAATCACTATTGGGATTAGTGTTAAACTGTTGCATAGCTAATTATCCTATCTGGAATTCTACATTTCTCATGTGTGATTGTTTAAAATGTATTACATTACCATGTGTTTAGTATTACATGTACGTTCGATTGTTTCAGAAACTAGGCATCAGTTACCTAGACCAGGTGGACGGTCGCGCGGACAGGTACTTCAACTCCATACTGAAGTCCGTTGTGGAGGAGAGGATGGGGTACGAGTTGCAGGGGAAGAAGAACAAACCCACGGACCTTCTACAGAGTCTGGTGGCGGCCAAGGTGGCGGGGGACAGGGGAGAGGCAGACGCCACGCGCAAACATGCAGACGATAAGGATTATGATGATACCACGAGTAAGGTTTAGGGAGAGGGGCCTGGTAGATCATTGCGAAACTTATGGCTAGCCTGTTTTATTAATGTAGAAATTAATCAAAATTAATCAGCGTAACAGCGTAACACGCCAGGTGAAAGACAAATGTTGGGTGGGGTGTAGGGGGCATGACACCTGACTTAGAGACGCCTCTGGGAAAAGTCCGTACATTGGAACACGGGTTGACAACTTTGAGGCTAAGCCTTGAAGAGGGGTGACTGTCAGTTGGCTGATTGCAGAAATCAGTAGAAACTTAGCTGTAGTAAATACAAACATCAGCCAAAAGTGAGCATTTTTTACAGGGTAGCATTTATAAATATGAAAACTTACCATATAATATAAGAAGTGTAATTTTTTCAATCCCGAAAGCATAACGCGGCATACCTTATAAATCTTTTTATTTTCTTTGTGATCAATACTAAAAATAAAGAAAAAAAATAATAATTTGCAGTTGTGTCAAACGACCAGAGCTGGGACAAAATCCCTAAAACAATGTCAGAACGGGAGCTGATCGGCCAATCCATGCTCATCATCTTCGCGGGATTCGAAACCACGTCCACGACGTTACAGCTGTGTCTATACCTGATGGCCAAACACCCAGACATCCAGGTGCGTTTTTTTTCTTTTAGATTCTAGGTCATGGCGGTAGAGATCATTGGTACATATCATGTACGAGACAGCATGTTTGTTAAGTTAGTCATACATTTCTATTTAAAAGGCCTTAAAATGCATGATGAGTACATTTTATACCTGCACTAAATATTTTTATTGACATTTAATCATATAGATATCTTTGAACGTTTATCGGTGTTTTAAATTAAACATAGAATTTATAATTTAGAGATTTCTTTTAAATAAAATGCGAAAAAAAATTTCTAATTAAATATTTTATAATAAATTTGAATTTGATGGAATTTTATTTCTTTTTCTTTTACCTCAACTAACAGGAGAAAGTCTACGAGGAAATCTGTTCAGTCGTGACCTCAGACTCCCCGAGCTACGAAGAACTGGGTCAGCTGACCTACATGGAGCAGGTCATCAACGAGACTCTCAGACTCTTCCCTCCGGTGCCACTCCTGCACCGAGTTGCAGCCGAGACCAAAACCTACGGTCACGTGACGATCCCCAAGAACGCCGCCGTGATGATCGCCGTGGAGGATATCATGAAAGACCCCAAGAACTACCCCGACCCCGAAAAATTTGACCCGGACAGATTTTCTCCAGAGAACAGCAAACACCGTGACCCCATGACCTTTCTACCGTTTGGTTACGGCCCTCGTCTGTGTATCGGCATGAGGCTAGCGTACCTTGAGCTCAAAATTGGACTCGTCCATGTCATGAGGAAGGTCAAGGTCGAGCTAAACGACCGGACGGAACCCAAGCGTGGCGAGGATGTGAACACGAAGTACATGGGCATCATCGTCGTTGAGAAGCCCATTCAGCTGGAGCTTAAACTTAGGGAGAGCTAAATGAAGCTCAATCCTTATGAAAACTGACATCAGATAAAGTCGCTAATATAAGTTAAGACAAATTAGAAGAGATATTATGTTATGAATTTCTCAAGCAAAAAAAATATGTATTTATTTTGCGTGTTAATCAATTTAATTAGTTTCAATTAGTTGTTGCCATCAGCATTTAATTTTTTCTGTTGCTTACGCCCAGAGGCGTAACGACCCTTCCCGGCGCCCGGGGACAGACTTTTCGATTTGCACCCCCCCCCCCCTCGAGATTTCGATTTGCACCCCCCTCAAACTTTCAATTTGCTCACCAATTCAACCTTTCAATTTATTTTTCCAACCCATTTTGGCGCCCCCTAAGCTCGGCGTCCGGGCCCCCCCCCCCCCCCCGCCCCCCCCCCCTCTCGCTACGCTACTGCTTACGCCATTAATTAAGGTTACAATGCGATTGACTCATAGTGATATAGCACTAACCCAACAGTCAACGAAAGCTTTGCAGTTTTAGAAGTAACATTACCAAAATTATTTTTTGTCAAAACAAAAAGCACCAGGTATTTTATGTATTTGGTTTTATCTTTGTGTTGTCAATAGTGTTTTTATATCATGACATAACTTGAGTTTATATTCGAGCTAACCCTTACTGAAGTAGACCGCTTACGGTGTAGAGAAACTTTGAAATCTAAATGATGTGTTCTACTATTTCAAACCATACAGTACCGAATATATTTAGCATATTGGAAGATTTTATTGAACTTTAGTCCTGAGTTATCTATATCACACTTCATTGCTCAAGCTTGTATAATAATGTTTTATCTCGTAGTATAACCCTGAATGAACTATGACCAATACTTTAATATTTTAAACTGTTTTTATACACTGCTATTATACAATATGTACATAATTTATACATTTTAATGATAGTATAACATAATGTACTTAAATGTGATGCATATGCTTTCTAAAAAGTAGTTAATGTAATGCGTTACATGGCGCAAGGTTAGCTTGTTTTTGTACTTTTAACAGTAACATTCTGTTAATTTTTTTATGTATACATTTTTACATTGTACTTTGTTACTAGTGTTGCCTTTATTAAAAAAAAGATGTTTCAACATGTTTTAAATATAAATCATCACGATCATTTAACAATAGTCAACAAACACATTTTGAATATCTGAATACTTGTGACGCCTTAAAATTGTCAACTCGTTAACATTAAAACAAGCAACTGTCAGTGTTATTCAGTTATCTGATTCGGAAAGAAGGGGTAGTGTCGTCAACACCACACCCAGGCGTTTTTACTTATTTATATCGTGGGTGGACTCAGGAACGTTTTATGTTTTCAAGTCCATGATTCGAACTCAAGACTTTCGTGTTACCAATTTTACGCTTTACCATCCGATCCCACCATTCAATTCTGCTTAAAGAAGACTTAGCGACAAAAGGCAAGATGGGGGAGGGGGTCGTATTGCAGATGAAATAAATGAAAATTTAAAAGAGGAAAATGTACTTCATCTTTAATTCATTGGGCCGACGGAAGTAAAACACGGCAATAGACTACAATGCACAAAATCTATTCTCAGCGTTCATGATGTAGCCAGTATTTCCGATGAACAACAAGAACAATTTTCAGATTTGCAGTATGATTACTCTGAAATGAAAAATTGTCCACACTATTCTGGAGGTATAATGCTAGTCTATCGAGTTTTAGTTCAATATCAAAATGTCTTCATATCACTGCAAGACTAAATTTTCAAATTTTCTTCGTTTTTGTAAAAAAATAAATAAAAAAGTAAAGATAAAATAAATATATACAATGCTAAAAATGACACGAGGTTGGCGTTAACAAAAACACACCCGCAAATTTTGAAGCCTGTTAATAACATAAAATGTCAACAATCGCATTATACTACTTTGAAAAACAATAAAAGAAACAATGCTCAACACACAATTTTCGCAGTTTCTTCGGTTTTTAAAAGTGCTTTATTTTCATGTTGGAGACGATGTGAAGGTTGTGGGTAACGTGTAAAATACAAAAAGGGCTCGCCACCTTAAAAAAGTTTGGGAACCTGTGTCCTAAACGAACTCTGGGACATATGTTGATGGGGCATCCAATCAAACAAGTTTTATAACATGTCAACAGCCATTAGTAGTTCCATTACATTTGGGTGTCACCCCGTGTGGTAACTCAGTACGTCATCTACGACACCCCCGACTAATATATATATATATATATATATATATATATATATATATATATATATATATATATATATATATATATATATATATATATATATAATATAGGCCTATATATATATATGTATATATCCAAATATATATAATATATTTATACAATATATATGCATATAGGCCTACATAATACGTATACATATGTATTATGTAAGTATATATATATATATATATATATATATATATATATATATATATATATATAATAAAGTTGCATAATTTAGTCAAGGTATAGATAAGATGAACATCAGTTTTTAATGGCGCCATTGGCCTAGTTTAGTCTAGTGCAGCGACCTGCGTCAATCTACACGACAAACTTGCAGTGACCCGTGCAAGGCACTATATAATGTACATTTCTGCTTGTCACACTGCTGTGCTGTAAGCTGTTCTACGTCTGTGTTTCATGGAGGTAGAGTTTTTGTGTTTCATGTAAGTAGATTTCAGCCCTATTTTTTATAATAGTTACAGATCAGCTGCAAGTTAGAAGTAGACAGGCATTGTTTTAGCAATTTAGCATAATTACGCTGTATATCAAATAGCGCATAACCTTGATCTAATACTATTATAATACAATAATTTAAGGACAACTTATAAGCATCGAAGCCAACGAAAGCAGTCATAGAGTATGGCTTATCAACAACAGCCCATTGTATACAATACTGATTAGGGCCTACACTATTAACATAAAATTATGTTTAACCATGCAAAAATATCGCTTGGCCCAAATTATTACCTAGTTTTCCTATTAATATAAGCCTCATTTGATTTATTGTACTAGTATTTACCATGTTGTTAATTCTAGTTTGCACATGCGCTGAGCCCATGCTAAACTAGCAGCACAGGCATGCATGAGAGATAATTGATATTTAATTGGCCTGTTCGTACAAGTGACACATTCACGCATGCCCTAGTTTTTCTTACAAAGGTCAAGGACATTTCAGTCTGGTCGGCCATATAAATATTCTAAAACTGCAAGTACTGGGGTACTTGGTTATTACATATTTAATGCTTTTACACGCAATTTAATAAAAATAAAGTTGAAAAAGGTTTAAAAAAATAAATGAATGTTAATAATATAGGTCTACACTATACATATTTTTGTCATATGGGGTATTAGCTATACATTGAACCTCTGGTGTTCAGAGTTCACCTAGAGTTAAGATGAAATCCACATCAGTTGAACATTTATGCTCTAACTCTAACGCTTGTTGGACGTTTTTCGCAGTTCATACTCAAACTCTTTTAAAGACAGCAGATAGAATGAACATTAGGTTTCTGTCTATTTAAGGGATAGTTTGATCTTGACGAGATACTCTTTTAAACGATATACCTCCATTGTACACCATTTTATTTTAAAAAATGTTGCACAAAGCCAGAAAATCTGCGCTCACCGTTAAAATCATGTCTTGAGGTATTTTTTTTTAAATTTTGAATAATTCAATTTTACCTCCCCCCCCCCCCCCCCGTTATTCATGTACATCTTATGTACAAACACACCCACACACAAACACACCCACACACCCCTTATATATATATATATATTTATATATATATATATATAAATATATATATATATACATATATATATATATATATATATATATATATATATATATATATATATTCAGTAAAATGATTTTGTTTGTTATCATACCTAGAAAAGTGTAACAGTTGAACTAGCACGCCAGTAGCCATGGCGATCACAGACATCCTTGACCTTTCACCCAGCGTGTCTGTGAGTTTGTTGTTGGCCACCTCCATTGTCCTGCTGTACCTTCTGTACACGAACCTCTTTGGCAAGGAGAGATGGGAGAAATATGGCGTTAAGCACGTCAGCCTGGGCAGGCTGGCCCTACAAGATTTTAGGTGACATTTCTTTTTCTAATCGCGCAATTAATAATGTGTTTGTTTCAACGTTTAGTTACAATTAATAAATTTTTTAAAAAATAATAAATTATGTTACAACCACAACTAAATATGTGATGCCATTAATATGACTGATTTTTAAATTAAATAATGGGTCATAGTTTTGTCTCGAGGGCCACTTTGTTTAAGCGGATTTTAGTGGAGGGTCGCACCGTTTAAAATGATTGTATGCTTTAGTTAACTTTACATTTCATTTTAGAAAAATTATAAATGGTATCAAAAAATTAATAAATAAACCTTAAATAAAGTTGGTAGTTTTATTAAATTTATTTATTGTGCAAATGTCACATTATCTAGATTTCTAGCTGCTTGCACATTTTATTATAGAATCAGTGTAGTGAGACAAGTGCACCCTATCACACATTTTACTATTTAAAAAAATCAGGAGTTAAGTTGCATGTTAAAATTCTCATCACTGCCTGCAAGTTTATGACTGTCAAAGAGCTTCTGGATTTACACTTGTTGATCTTAATGCAAGAAAATTTTTGCTCACATATATATGTAGAGAACATTTTGCCAGCGAATTTTTCCACACATGGGTATCTTTCATCAGACAAAGACTTATAAAAGTCAAATAATGTCACAGTTTTAAACATTTTAATTAATTCAAGCTGCAGATTCTCAGGTGTTGTATCAATAGGGCTGGTAAGTAGGCCACCAACCAGTTCTACGGCTCAATAAAACCTGTATGAGCCATAGAACTAGTTGGTGACCTACTTACCAGCCCTATATCAGCAGTGATGTGAGAAGACAGTAAATTAAATTTGGGCTCTCTCTTCTTGACGTCCTGAAACCTTCGCGTGACCGCCCTCCGACCTCTGTAAATGGTCTCTGATCATAGCAGAAACAGTTTCGGACACGTTCTATTTTCCTAATAAAGGGAAATGAAAAAAACTTACCCTCACCTCTTGCCTTGCAAATAGACCTAGTTTTGTATTGAAAACAATGAAACGTTTTCAAATTTGATTCTCATATCAGGAAACGTTTTCAAATTTGATTCTCATATCAGGAAACAGTAGGCTTGCACAATCTACCATACACTGCTAAAGACACTCGCCATTCTAAAAAAGCTCGATTTTTGTTGCAATATAAAACACTGGTTTACCAATACCCCAAATACTTGTTTTGACATTCTAGTAATGATTTAGCTGGACCTTACATTTTTTCTCTAGGATCATAGCCTCAACTCTCTTTACCCAACACGGGGACACAGTGGGCTTTAAACTGAACAAACTGAACCTACTGACCCGTGACCTGGAGCTGGTCAAGCAGGTCATGGTCAAAGACTTCAGCAACTTTGTTGACAGATCCACCCTCATGACCACTAACAGCGCTATGGAGACTGGACTGTTCTTCCTGGGAGGAAAAGCATGGAAAAGAATTCGATACGTTTTAACGCCATCATTCAGGTATATATATATATATATATATATATATATATATATATATATATATATATATATATATAAGCGTATCTTCCGGTGACGTTAATATACTTATTAAGATAATAACTTATAGATTTGGAGTCATGTATCATGCCGTATATTATACTCTCAAGATATATCACTCTAAAATAAAATCCTATTTTATTCTTCGTTTTTAGTTATCATATTGGACGGAATTTTTAAAACACAATTAAGTGTCGCCTGTTGTTCTTCATATGAGTAGTTAACTCCAATATCAGCCTACTTTTTTATGGGTATTCTTTCATAGCCTTTATCTTTCCATGGGTACCCGTTCCACGTGAATTATAGGTATATTTATTTTTACTGTTATACTTATTTGGAAAAAATAATTTATAAAATAGCTATTGAACAAAACGCCATGTGCTTTACTACACGTTGAACGAAATTAGCGACAAAGCAAAGAAATACCTAAATAGCTGAAACCCGACTCGTTTAATATTGGTTTTAATCAAGGTGTTGCTACTTGTAGTAAAAATACCAGGCGGAAAATTTTTAGCTTGAGAAAACCAAAACAATACAGCATATGCTGCATTTAAAAAAAAATATACTCTTCTGCCAATACAATTAAAATTGATAAAGTTACTATATCTCAGCGTTTACTTATTTTTCTTGTTATTTTGTGTTAGGTTCTAATTTAAGTATTCCTATTTCATTTAGCCCTAGCGTTTAAATAAACTTGAAATTTAGCACAGGTAAACTCAAAAACATCTGCCAGAATATTGAAGAATCGGCCCAGAAATTGGCCACGGTGTTTGAAGAGATGGCCAGGAAACAAACGCTGTTGCCAGTGAAGCACATCACTGGCCAGTTCACGAGTGAGATCATTGCCAGGTCGGAGTTTGGTTTGAGGACAGACTGTCTGGGGAAAGACGACGACGAGTTCACCCACCACGTCAAGAACCTGTTTCAAATCTACAGTAAACTGGGGAACATGATCATGCAAATAGCAGCCCGCTCGAAACGCTTGCATTGTTTTCTGGCACGCGTAAGGGAAATGTTCCTACAAAACACAAAAATATTTTTTTTTATCTGAGCTATCTGATATTAAAAATAAAATTAGTTTGTTATCAGTTCTTTCATGAATCAGTATAATAAGAATATATCTGTAAACGTTAGGTTTTATTATTTTGTTATTAATCAAAGTTATTTCGCAAATTTGTTGATGCTTTTAAAGTTGAAAGAATGTAACTTTATATTATTTTCCAAATAATATACAGACTTTAAATATACTAATTAATTTAAGATTTCTTGTTGTATACAATTAAGCACGGGTTAAATGATGTATATATCATAACGTCTCTCCAGACATTAGGAATTAGTTTTTTTGATTCCGTGGACAAACGTGCTGACCAGTACTTTAGCTCTATAGTACAGACCCTAGTCACACAGAGGGTGGAACTAGAACACAACGGGACAAACAAACCCACGGACCTCTTGCAGAGTCTGGTTGCTGCTAAACTTGCAGGGGACAAGGAAGTAGCCGATAGTAAATATTTTATTTCTTCCTTCTTTACTTTTATTAATTTAAAACTTCTGAATAATATAAGGCTGCAACTATATTATTCCCCAAGCTTCATCGCTGACAGCAAATACATAATATTTCTTCTTTTTTTTCCGTTTGCTTGAAAACCTTGAAGAGCATAGGGTTAAGCTATACATCAAATATACCTCCACAGAAAATACGTAATTTAAAAAAAGGTGGGAATACATCAGGCCATTTGTTTGTTACAATTGTCGGCATATTTCAAATTTAGAGTGAGTTAGGTAACTTAGTTACAGGAACAGAATAGAACTTGAGGTGGACTATGGTTAACCTTCTAGTGGGTTTGAAAGTTTCCACTGGTATACATATTCCATATATATATGAATTGAGTGCTGCACTTGTATCTTGTTGCTCTTTCTTACATAATATTATATATATAAACACACACTTATATATATATATATATATATATATATATATATATATATATATATATATATATATATATATATATATAATTTTTCGAACTAACTTTTAACTTTAACCTGATTCGTAGTTTCGACTAAAATACATCGCTACAGAAGCCACTAAATCTTTAATTCGTAATTCGATAAATGAAGTCACTTTATATGTAGCAAAACTCTGCATAAACAGAACAGAAGCAAGCATCTGTTAAAGTTTTTTGTACTTCAAATCTCTGAAATCTGACTTGACAGATTCTTCAAACGGTGAGGCGAAAGATAAGACGGTCAAGACGATGTCGGACCGCGAACTGCTGGGACAGTGCATCCTGATCATATTTGCAGGGTTCGAAACCACAGCAACAACTCTACAGTTTTGTCTATACCTGCTGGCTAAGCATCCGGAAATACAGGTGAGAATTTTATTAGACGGAATTATGGTATTGGTTACTGGGTGTCAGGGGGGTCAGCGTGGTCGAGTCGGTAAAGCTCATAGTTGCTAAACCGAAATGTCTCGAGTTCGATCAGTGAAGCAGATAAGGCTCGTTAGCTGGGGACAGCCAATCTTCTAGGAGAGACAACTCCAAAACCAAACAACTGCTGCCTTGTAGTTTGTTCTTAGTTGGACGAAGGCTATGGAAGCAAATCCAAAGAGAAAAGCAGGCTGAAATCGGGGTCAATGGGCTCAATGGCGCATAAACAGTTGAGACGTATACTTAATAGTATTAGAGGGGGTCCCTTCCAGCACTAACATTAAGAACGAAGAAGAAGAAGACTGGGTGTCAGGAAACTTGTTTCGTCAGTCTGGTCAGAAACTCACACAATAATCAAGACTCATGACACGAGTTTAACTTGCCGCCATATTGTGCTGACAGAAATCCCGCGAGATCTCAACATTCATATGAGATTTTGTGCAGCTTAGTTAACTCTAATTCCAACATGTGTTGAACTTTTTAAAAACTATAAAATATATTCTCTTGTAACCTCACCAACACACAATTAATGGCTCATATTTTTTTCCAGGAGAAAGTGTTTCAAGAAATCTGCTCCGTCGTGGCATCAGACTCCCCAACATACGAAGAACTTGGTCAGCTGACCTACATGGAGCAGGTCATCAACGAGACTCTCAGACTGTTCCCTCCTCTCTCTCTAGTTCGCCGAACGGCAGCTGCAACCAAAACCTACGGTCACGTGACAATCCCCAAAGACACGATTGTGATCATCCCCGTAGAAGAGATCATGAAAGACCCCAGAAATTACCCCGACCCCCACGCATTTAACCCGGACAGATTCTCACCAGAGAACAGCAAACAAAGAGACCCAATCACGTTTCTACCGTTTGGTTACGGCCCTCGTCTATGTATCGGCATGAGGCTGGCGTACCTCGAGCTCAAAATTGGACTCGTCCATGTATTGAGGAAAGTGAAAGTTGAGCTTAGCGAGAAGACGGAACCAAAGGTTGGAGGGGATGTGTCGGTCCGATTCCAAGGCTTTATCGTTGTGGACAAACCCATTCAGCTGGAAGTCAAACTCAGAGAAGAAATATAAGAGACGGACATCAAGAAAATGCTAAGATAAACGCTGCCCATTCTCCGTGAATATACAGAACAATATAAAAACAACCACAACAATGTTTCATGTTTGATTTCCAATTATTTTTTGAAATATGTACATATTCCTAATATCCCAAAAAATAAATTCACAATAAATCATATTGAAAACTATTTTTTTCTTCTTTAATACTTACCCGGCTCTATTTAAGTAAACTAAATGAAGTTACCTTTGGAACCTGACGGTTAACCAGTTTTGTGATCTCGGCATATGAAAGTATAGTGTGGTCCGCACTATGGCTAGTCGCCTTTAATTTCGCTAACATGAGTCAGGTACCCATTAGAGCTGGGTAGACTCAGGGACGGTCTACAGACTTGAACCCGGATTCAATCTCGAGACTTTTGGGTATGCAGTCGTATGCTCAACCATTCGACCACGCCGCCTCATAAAGCTAGATTTATTTAAATTGCAATTGTAACATCTGTAAAAACAATAGTTTTTTTTTTAAATAGATCACTTAGTGCATCGCTTGACAGAAAATGCTTTTAACAGAATTAGGCCATAATCTTTACTTAAAGATAAGAGAACTCCATTCAAGTTAACTTTCAATTGAAGACCCAAGGGCATTATTCTACGATGGTGTATAGTATATGCCTTCATGAAAAGCTTTACTTTCTGAAATCATGTCTGTTGGGTCTTAGTTAGAGATTAAATCCTGAAACTCATCAAGTGGCAAGCAAACTTGAAGTTATATTAACAAGCTTAAAAATTTACTAAAACTAATAAACTACACATTTTTTTTAAAAACTATAATAGGAAACGTTTCGTCAAATTTAAGTGTTTTATTTACATTAGATTTGAATTCTGTGCTCTTTAAAAGTCATAAAAAGGTAATAAGATAGAAATAGTAAAGAGTTATGAAAAAAACCAATTGCAATGTAGATTATCTATAGTCCTATAGTTTTCCACAAGATGGTCCTGCCTTTGTCAGCTACTAGTAAATTGTCAGAGACCGACAAAAGTGGAAAGAACTTTCTGTGTCGGCCCCTTGTATCTCCAGCACTGAAGGAAAAAATGATCTATAGCCTCGGAAACTTTGTGAGAACCGTTTATCTTTAGTAATTAATCGTGGCCTTATTGTGTGTAGTAATCTGTGTTCTGATGGTGTGCAGTGTAATGCACACGAGTCGCAAGTACGGCTGATTAGACATGTATGTAGGTTTTGTTTTCTGCGAGTGTTTTTCTCTCTATAAGACAACGTGAAGTATGTTAGGTCAAAGGCCATATGGATTTTGATCGTACTGCTACTTTTTTGTGTTAGTGCGTGTCATGCGTACAAGACAAAGTGGATCCATGTTGTGTACTGTATAATTTGAAAGGTCGAAGGAAATATGGAAATGGATGTAAACGTAATATCTTTTTTACAGTTATTGCATACATTTAGTCTGTGGAAATTGTGGCCTTAATTTAAAAATTCACGTTTTAAATATTGTCAAAAACAAAATCTAAAAATTTTGATATTTTTATTTATGGAGAATGTGTGTGTGTGTGTGGGGGGGGGGGGGGGGCATTAGTCGTATATGGACAAGTGTCCATTCGGGTACTTGTCGCATTCGGGCAAGTGTCCATTCGGGAAATCTGCCTTCGGATATACAGCATTCGGGCAAGTGTATCTTTCGGGAATTTGTCGTAGAACCTTATTCTTAAACTAAAATTATAAAATTAAAAATGTAACAACAAAGGCTTTTATTTGTTAAATAGTTAAGAAAAATCAAAACGATTAGAACAAGTTTCTGGTTTCCATGGCGATTAGACAAATCTTTTTCGTATTGTAAAAATCTTCAAAGATTGCTGCAATGATGTCTCTGGACTTGGATGCTGACATCTCAGCCAGCGTACCAGTGAGTGTGTTGTTGGCCACCTCCATTGTCCTGCTGTACCTTCTGTACACAAACCTCTTTGGCCAGGAGAGCTGGGAGAAATATGGCGTCAAGCACATCAGCTTGGGCAGGCTGGCCCTACAAGATTCCAGGTGGGTTGGTTTTTGTTTGTTTTAATAAAACACTGTATGAGTCTAATGATTTGCTATTTCTTTTTAAACCCTGTACTGTCGACATTTTATGTATTTAAATAACACACTTGCTAGATATTATGATAACGACTAAAGAAATTGACAGCATAAAAAGCATTGGACTACGTTATCTACAAGACGAGTTAGATGAATTCGAGAGGGCTATCAACTATAGCTACCGCAACATGTCGATCTGTACAGTGGTTGTTAACCTAGGTTCACTAAGTCAGTCTCATGGGTTCGACGGTGGGCGAGACACAAACCCGACTCAAAATTCACGATCAGAAATTCGTCAGTGCGGACGATAGACCAAGTAATAAGGGTTCGGTGAATGTGCTTATAAAACTGGCGGGGTTTCGGTACCTACAAAAAACTTTAAGAACTACTTCTGATTTCGGCCTTGAACCAGACTTTTCCCCTCCCTGACTTACGAGTTCTGTTGTATGACCTGTATTTTTCTATCTCGCTCGACTATTAATAAAGCGTGTGTTTATAATATATACCTTCTTATATTCTCCCCTTATTCCTTATGAAGACGATCGTAGGTAAGTTTTTTTAAGAGTGGTGTTTACCATTCAATAGTTGATTCTATCTACTTATCATAATCATTCTCAACTGTTATTGTTTTTACCATTCAATAGTTGCTTCTATCTACTTATCATTATCATTCTCAACTGTTAGCGTTGTTACCATTCAATAGTTCTTCTATCTACTTACCAGTCTCAACAGTTAGTGTTTTTACCATTCAATAGTTCTTCTATCTACTTATCAGTCTCAACTGTTGGTGTTTTCTTCATGTTCTATGTTCTTAACGTCTTAACTAAGGAATAAAACCTTTGTCGTTATAGACAGCTCTACTTTATCCAGTTTGAAGGACTTTGTTGTCTTAAAATACATTTGATCATTTAAAAAAAAATATTCCTTTATTTAGCGATAAAAAACTAGTATTTCAAATTGTAATATTTTTGTTGGAAAATATTGGTTTTAATTATTCGTCTAAATTAATTTTCCCTTCTAATTATTTAAACTTGTTAGCTTCATTGCTTGTCTCTCTCTCTTTCTCCCTCTCCCCCCCCCCCCCCTCTCTCTCCAACAGCGTCTTTAAGCGATTTGTTACTGCAACACCCTGGGAAAAAAAAACATTTGGAGCCTTCCAACGCACACCCTTACCCCATTCATACTATTTGAGTCCATAGTTATAACTTTCTTATTGAGATCTGCAGATGAGTGGAATATGTGAACGAGAGGCTACACTTTATATTTCCTCTAGGATATTTCTCACTTTTTCTTATACACAGTGGCGTAGCGAGGTCGGGTGTCACCCGGTGCGGCACTTAATGGTGTCACCCCCCCAGGGGTGTTGCGACCCTTCCCGGGGACAAACTTTCAAGTTTTCGATTTGCACCCCCCCCCCCTCAAACTTTCGATTTGCACTCCCCCCCTCAAGTTTTTGATTTGCACCCCCCCCCCTCAAACTTTCGATTTGCACCCCCCCCCTCAAGTTTTTCTCTATATATTTTGCTATTTTTTGCCTTGGTGTCACCCCCCTAAATGGAGTCACCCGGTGCGGTCCGCACCCCCGCCCCCCCCCCCTCCTCACTACGCCCCTGCTTATACAAATAGTATAGTTTCAACCTCTACAAAGTTAAAGTGAGCTATTTGATCTCTTTAACATTGTTAACCTGACTCATTTATCCTTTTAATATTCTGCTTTTTCATTCATTTTAAAAACGAAGTAGCTCAATTTTGTCACATACACAAATGAGCGCTAATACGTAGTAGAATAGACTTGGTAGGTTACGAGGAATCCACGCATTAAAACACTATTTTAGGGATAAAAAAACACTGCAACGGTAAACATATAGCCTATGTAGCATATCAGATATCAACGCGACTATAACAAATGACCTTATAAATATAAAATGTCAGTTTACTTTATTATATCAAAACCTCTTCAACGAGAAAGACACATACACCGAAATAGAGGACCAATAGCTTTATTATATAACAAGGCTAGACAACGATGACTGTACGAAAATCAGCACCAAAGTCACAAACAGGAATAATCCAAGACGACAGACGACCAAAGCTTAAAAAAGCTCTACTACCAGAAGGACTAAGCAGTGAATTTTATTAAACGTTTAGAAGCTACATGTCCAGACTTACAAGAAAGAAAGGATTGTACTAAATATTTAGAGTACACCTAACACTCAATACTACACATGACATGGACAGAACAATAATACTAATTTACAGTCCTAATTTGTTATGAACGACGATTATATAATACCAACAAAACCATTTATTAGGAAACTCGACCCTGTTAGAATTGTTTTGTTAACAGAAAATACGTTTTTGATTATTAGCCACAACCAAGTGCCCTAGGTATTGAGATAATTAAATGGTAGAATATTAATATTCTTACATTTTTTTTAATTCAGCTAAATGTTTTCATTTTTAATTAAAACAGTAAAAATCAAAATTTTAAAATATAAGAAATAAAATCTTGGAATAACACAGTAGCAAATTTAAATGATCTTTTTTTTTTAAGGCACAATAGTAATAGTTAACAATCCAGTTTATTATTTTTGGCACATCTGTGTATCTAAAAAAATTGGAAACATAGCTTTTAGTTGTCTACCCTGCCTTAAATGAACTTTCACATGGGAAACTACCTAAAATATTTGCTAAATAATAGTTACGAAACAGCTATAACTCTTATTTTAACTTTTATGTAGAAAGGTGCACTTAAACTATAGAGATGCGCGTATATGTTTATCTACCTCAAAATGAAGTGTCTGTAAAGTTTTTCAAATAAAGTTATTATAAGTTACGTTATTTCAGACCATTTCTTTTTTCTATGCTATATATATATATATACATTTATACATATATATATATATATATATATATATATATATATATATATATATATATATATATATATATATATATATATATATATGTATATATGTATATATATATATATATATATATATATATATATATATATATATATATATATACATATATATATATATATATAAATAAATATATATATATATATATATATAAATATATATATATATATATATATATATATATATATATATATATATATATATATATATATATATATATATATTTATATATATATATATATATATATATATATATATATATATATATATATATATATATATTGTTTCGTCTATCCTCTTAGCATCATTCGGCGCCTCCCTATTCAGGATTGCATCGAATTGTTCAAATTGCTGTTGTAAACTCTAAGACCCCCCCCCCCCCCCCATCCCCTCCTCACCCCAGGGTTCTGGTATCGACTCTAATAGCCCAGCACGGCGACACCGTTGGCTTCAACACCGGCACCATGATGCTGCTGACCCGAGACCTTGACCTCATCAGACAGATCGCAGCCAAGGATTCCAACAACTTCCTCGACCGTCTCACCCTCTGTGTGACCCGGAGCGCCATGGAGTCCGGACTTTTCTTCCTGGGGGGAAAAAGCTGGAGGCGGGTCCGTAACGTGATGACCCCTTCCTTCAGGTGAGGCCGACAGGTAGCTCATATTTCAGGCAGAGGGGTTTATTTCAGGTATCTCTCCGACTCTACGGGGATGGGGGTACGCCCACCACCAAACGCATTAGCAAAACTGTAATTTATGTAGAAAAATATACATTAATTAGTGTCCGCCTCTCCCCCTTCGGAAATTTGAAGTGTACTCAGCGGAAGTTTCGAAATCCCGTTCCTGGAGAATTATGTCTATGGGGGAGTCTAAATGTGAGCAAATCGACTAGGTTCCGATATGTTTATGTTCTTGACTTTATAAACCTTCTATACATTTCTTTACATACCGGGCTGAAAAATGTCAATAAAACAATAATATTGTTATTACAATTAAAATTATAGTAGAATCCATTATTAGCAATATTTTATTTTGCGTTTACAATTTAAATTATTTTTTTCCAAATACTAATATTTATAAATTACTTATTCCGTAAAGAATTATATATATATATATATATATATATATATATATATATATATATATATATATATATATATATATATATATATATATATATATATATATAGTACAGGAAAATTAAAGCAAGCTTGCACAAACATCGAAGAATCAGCTCAAAAGTTGGCCACCGTTTTGGAGGAGTTTGCCAGGAACCAGACGCTGTTGCCAGTAAAGCACATCACGTCCCAGTACACGAGTGAGATCATCGCCAGGTCGGCGTTTGGTTTGAGGACAGACTGTCTGGGGAAGGGGGACGACGAGTTCACCTACTGCGCCAAGAATATTTTTAACATCAACGGTAAAATAGCGACAATGATCGTGCACGCAGTCTCCCGTTCGAAAACGCTGCATCATGTCCTTGCTAAAGTAAGCAACAATTCTACTGTACATAAGTACATACACATTAGCATTATACTTAATAATAGTATAACAATTATGTAAGCACAATTTTAAAATGCTGTAAAATGTGTTCGTTAACATAAAATGTAAAGTTAACTTATTACACCCCAAAGGCTTGTACATAATGTGTTAATTTTTTTTTTACATGATGTGTTAAACATTTGGCGCCTTTATTTACTGCTAGCACGTTCTCTACTTTGTAAATTAAAGTACAGCTATGAAATCGTAAAATGCTTAGCAATTAATAACGTTTTTAAGAGTTCTAGAAAATGGGCGTGTAATAAAGATTAATACAAGAAACTTGAAGCTCAGAATAAATATTTAACAATTATTACAAGAATTGAGTAATTTTGCAATCTACATCTTTATAAAGACATCTTTAAAGATACTTATCGTAAGATGTACAGTGTATAAATTCTTGCATTCCTTTATACTACATACATGTCTACTCAAATATGGGTATTTAACTCATGATTGTTCAATTAACAAACGTAAGTTGGATCGTTTTAATAAACCATCTATGTAAATGAATGCAATCAATGGATAAAACATGCTCATGCAGGCACTATTTATATTCATACTCTACCGTTTTAATGTAAAGCTTACACACTCGTCCAATTATGTAAAGCTTATATCCACACTCGACCGTTTAAATCTTATAACCACACTCGACCGTTTATATAAAACTTATATTCATACTCTAACGTTGATGTCCCCAGACTCTGGGCGTGAGTCTCTTTGACATGGTCAACAAAGAGACTGACCGATACTTTCACACTCTGGTATCAAGTCTAGTCTCACAGAGGGTGGAGCTAGAGAGGCAGGTTACAAACAAACCAACAGACCTGCTGCAGAGTTTGGTTGCTGCTAAACTGGCAGGGGACACGGAGGCTGAAGATGGTGAATCCTTAAAACTATTTGAATGTTTAAATATTGAAATGCTGCTAACACAACTCACCAATAGTTTCTTTAAACGGCTTCTCACTAAAACTACACGCTTTGGGTGTAGATAATAGATTTATTTCTTGATAGATATGAATTACTAGAAATTACACAATTTAAATTCCACGCTATTTATGTTTGAAGTTAGCACAGCCTTAATGTAGTGGTATATTTTGAAGTTGATGTTATGATATGGCAAGGGCTGATTATGAGAATTGTGTTAATTATGTTAATCGATGATGTTTATTCCAATTTTTTCAGGTGGGTCACATGATCAAACGTGGGGAAAACTTCCCAAAACGATGTCGGATCGAGAACTGCTGGGTCAGTGTATTTTAGTTGTGTTCGCTGGGTTCGAAACCACGGCCACGACATTACAGATGTGTCTCTACCTGCTGGCCAAACATCCAGATATTCAGGTGAGGTCTTTAGAAAACGTAATTGTATTTTCTATATCGATTTCTAACTACAATCAAGAGCTTTTGGCAGAGTGAGAGAGCAGAGAGGTTGGTAGTAATTTTTTTTTTTTTAAATCCAGCGCCGTTAGTTTTTTTATATAAATTTCATGCGTGGTGACTTCGCTATTGAAATTATTGTATAGAATGTACCAATGTAGAATCTATGTCCACTTTCCTTTATATTCCGCTACAGGCCATGAATCTTCATGTAGGCTGTTGTGTCTGAATTAGCACCTAACATTTTTTTAGTGATGTTGAAGACCAGAAATAATATACACAATTATTTTTCAAATATCTACACTTTTTTAGATACGTGTATAGTCCAAATACATTGAAAATGAGTACATTTATATTAAATAAACATAGACAAAATCGAAAAAAAAAATTTCTAACAATATCTTTTTAGTACGATCCGAATTTTTTTTTCTTCCAGGAAAAAGTGCACCAGGAGATCTGTTCCGTCGTGGCATCAGACTCCCCAACTTACGAAGAATTGGGTCAGCTGACCTACTTAGAACAGGTCATCAAAGAGACTCTCAGACTGTACCCTCCCATCCCTCTGTATCGCAGAGTTGCCGCTGAAACCAAAACTTACGGTCACGTGACAATCCCCAAAAACACTGTCGTCATCGTCCCTTTGGAAGAGATCATGAAAGACCCCAGAAATTACCCCGACCCTCACAAATTTGACCCGGACAGATTTTCACCAGAAAACAGCAAACAACGTGACCCAATCACTTTTGTCCCGTTTGGTTACGGCCCTCGTCTGTGTATCGGCATGAGGCTGGCGTACCTCGAGCTCAAAATTGGACTCGTCCATGTATTGAGAAAAGTCAGGGTTGAACTAAGTGAGCTCACGGAACCTCAAATTGGAGGTGGAGTGTCATTAAAGTTTCAAGGTTTTATCGTGGTAGAGAAACCAATACAACTGGAGGTTAAATTACGACAAAATAACACAAGCAAGACAGATTAAAATGTTACATCCACAGTTTTCTGCCTAAATGTATTAGTTTTCTATTTTCCTAATTTTATTTAGTTACTCTGCTTAAATTTCAATCAGAATAAATTCCTGGAAACAAAAGTCTTGAAAGTTATAATATTATATTTTTTTATAATATATATATATATATATATATATATATATATATATATATATATATATATATATATATATATATATATATATATATATATATATATATATATATATATATATATATAGGCCTATCTGTAACAAATCCATATAATGGGTTTGGTTTATAAGCAGTCGAATAAACTAAATACCTTTAAGATAAATTAACCCAAGGGGAGAATTTTTTTTTAAAAGTTGGATGTTATGAAAATAAATTTGAGAATTTTATCTATTTATTAAACTGAGCTGTTTCTATATTTGTTTGTTACTTTTTATACGATATTTTGTTTTGAGATTAGTTGTAAAATAACGAGAAATCCAGTTAAAATTAATAAGTCGACCCAAAGGATCTTCAATATTTAGATATTTCAAAATGTAACCTATATTTCTGCAAAATCTTTAATTTATTTTAAATATGTTTTATCTATATTAAATCAGAATACGACACACCTGTCTATGGCATTTTCTGCTCGATTTTTTCCCAAGCGATGATCAAAATAATTACCGACCCATGGGACATATTTAAAAGCAATGATCCGTTATCGAAAAGTAAAAAGTGTACAATAGGTCGAGGTAGATTTTTGTTTAATTAAGAACCGATAATAAGATTTCAGGTGAGTTATTTATGACGAGCCGACCCGCGGCTTATCATACGCAGCTATTTAGTTGTTTTATTTTCTACTTCTCAGTAATTCGTAATTTGTGAATTCGACAGTACCAATGCTGCCACTAAAATATTTGCTTTAAAACACTAAAACCCTCCTTTCCACCAACCCCTACCCCAGACGTTTCCAGAAATAGAGGTGTTAGGTTGTTAAATGTACTTTAATCTGACGTTCAGTTTTATAAACAGAAATTAGGGTTAGGGGTATGGTAGGTCACGTGTTATGAGGTTGGTTAGGAATAGGGTTAGCATTGACATTAGCAGGACAAATTTGTATTAAGTTAATTAACTACCAGTTATCTAGCCATGATTTTAAAGAAGATTCTATTATTGTGGCATTACCTGACACCGGCATATAACAAATCCCCAATTATGTTAAGCTGAATTTTAAGCTCCTGGAATAAGGCTGATGAGCTCATACAGGGGATAATACAATAAAAGGAAAGGCGCATCTGATTCAAATCAGGGAAAGTATATACGGGTGGGTATAATGCTGACCACAGCACCACCTCATATGCCTTGGTCAAGAAATGTGAACTCTACTTCATCGTTTCTATGGACCGTTAGGTCCAAAATATGAACATTAGTGATCGGGCAGTAATGATTAAATAAAATTGCGATGTGTCCAGTAAGTTATGAATGTCTGCCCTGTGAATTATGCACTAGATTCACTACAGCAGCACTAATATTATTCATTTTAGCGTTTAATAATATCTGACTTTACACATTCGTTAATGACTCAAACTGTGAATATTAACAGATTAACCAGCTGGTAAATTACAGACCCGCATTTTATAACACATCAGGAAAATGGTTTCGGCTTAATCATACGCATGCTGCAAGATTAATAAACATCGGTTTTGGTTTACAATTTTGATGAACATTAAAACACATAATTCTAATATGTAAGCTTCCGTGTAATAATTACTTCTGGCTGTAGTTCACAATACGAGAAATAACTCCTAAACAAAAATAAGTGCTTGTATTTACATGTTGCTAGCTTTTACTACAATGTAAATTGTAAATGTTCCGAGCTATAAGCATAATCTGTATATGACATACTTCTCTAATAGCTGTCTCATGACCTTCTTGCTACATGCTAAGTACACAGAGGCTAAGATTTTGAACTAGATTTTACCTGTTTTCTGCAACGCTCGACTGCCCTACACTGAAGCAGCCCAAGGTCAAAATGTTAAATCTTATCTCTACAACAGTGGTTCCCAAACTTTTTCGAGTGGTGACCTCCTTTTTAAAAAGTAAGTGACCCGCGACCCCCATAGAATTAAAAAGTCGAAATAATAAGCACAAAAATACGATTTTCTCGTAGACTTTCAATATGCATTATTCTTGATAACTGTTTTAATGCGATGGTTGGAACTGCATGCTATCAACTAGCCTCAAAATTCCCGGTTGGGTTTTTGTTAAAGCCAACCTCATGTCATTCTCAGCATTTAATTTCTTTCTTTGTTTAGTTTTTAATTAGAGAAGTGTTGAAAATCTATTCTCACAAAGATGTGTAGGCCTAGACACAAAAGGAACTAAAACTCGAAAGGCAATCGATTTAACGTTCGGGTATGAACGGTGCATACTACACCTAAATTGTGTAAGCAGTTTTTCAGTTAACACGATACGTGTCAGTGCAGATTCTTCTTTTAGCTTAGGGAAAATAACGCCGCAGTTTGTTTTCAAGCGATTCAAGATGCCCAGAATTCTATTTCAAATTTTTATTTATCTCACAATCAGATTCATCTACCTCACTGCAGAGTTCCTCAAACATAGCAATATATTTATTTTTCTGCATCGATTTTGCAGCTTCGATAAAAATGCCATGAGATTTTAATAAAAGTAATAATAAGTTAAGCTTTTGCTGATGTTCGAATATATCTTCTAGGTATGCTACTCTCTCCAACCACTCTTTGTAGTTAAAATATATCAAAAGGTCTTGATTTCATCTTTCAATTAAAAAACCCGATTCACAACATTTACTTTTGACAGCCAGCGTACAGTAGTTTTGAAAACCAAAACCTTGTGATATTTTGTCTTTGAACTGTTCTTTAAACAGAGTGGTGTTTAGGGCTCCAGATTTCGTATAATTTACGACTTTTCTTAGCAATAGAGTCGGGAGAGTCTTGCTGGCGAGGGCATACCTATGAGTCATGCTGTGGATTCCCCTTGGTTAGGGACTTAAATCTTTAACGTTTTTCTGAAAGCACGATCTTGACCCAACATGGCGCAACATCCGTACAAACCACACAGCCGTTTTCTCATTTTGATCATCCAGGTAAAAAAACGTATTTACTTTCTCTATGATATCTTCACAATATAACAACCCTTCTTGCACTAATGCTGTGTTTTCTTGTTGAAAACTTCCTCTTCGATCAAGTCTCTGATGTTTGCAACTAGATTCATGCCAACAAAAAAAACTCCATATCTTTTTGGTGTGATTCGATTGACTCGTCTCAAAATGACGTTTCCGTTTTGAAGGTTTCGTAGACTCATGACTGAGAACAACTTTGCACAGTACGCATTTTTTTCTTCTCTATTCAAACTCCATTGATGTTAGTAAAGTCGATATTTTTCTAAATATTAATGTTTTTTTTAATTGCTAGGGTTTAGTCTACCAGTTGGCAAAACCCCACAGTTTGAGAACCCATGCTCCACAAGCTTGCAGGCTATTGGACCCCTGAAATAGGTCAGACACAGTGGAAACATTTCAAGTACAATCAGCTGGTGAGTTATCGCTTTCTATGGATACTTTGTTGTGCTGACACAATATTTGTTTATATATAGCCTTATATATATATATATATATATATATATATATATATATATATATATATATATATATATATATATATATATATATATATATATATATGCGTGTGTGTGTGTTTAAAAAATTTAAAATGAAATTATATTAATTTCCTATGACATTAACTGTAAACCTAACATTAAATGCGGTGCAGTTTTCGTTAGGTTTTTGGTTAGTTCAAAGTGGTAGTAGTTTGGTTATGTTTAGGATGAAATAGTCATTTCTGATTTTCCGTTTTGGCTTTCATTCAAGCACTAAAATCGTATTTTATTGTGGAGTTTCTTTAGATTTAATTTAATCACCGCTTTTTTTTTTTAAGAAACACGCCACTTTGGTTTTCCCATTTCCTCATGTTCTGCTACAGCGCTTGAACAATTAGGATCCAAAAATTCGAAATGTTTATGGAGTGTTTAAGCTTAATCAACACATAGTCGGGACAATGTGTATATGTATGCCTGTGCCTGTACTAACGCTAATAAAATATGCTGTGCTATATGCGATTTCTTTCGTACTGTGCCGGTCCATTTCAGGTAGGCTTTGGAACATTGAGGTCTGCACCGGTTGTGTTATAAATTTTTGTATTTAATATGGCTAAATGTATACTTTATGGAACCTACAACTCTTGTACATAGTCAGCCAGAGACTCTAAGTGCTTACATGCAGTGACGGATTAAAAAAGAGGTTAAGAGGGCAGCAGCCCGAGGCCCCATGTAGGCTTAATATGCCCCTGTTTACATTTGAGTTGACACGTCTCTTCTCATATGGTGTTAGAAAATAATTAACTCTCTGGTTTTGATACGTTAAGAATGCATAGTGTGTTGGCTGTTGTGCAAAGGGTGTTATGTCTGTCGTTGCTGCAGTCATAGAATTTAGTCTGTAAGACGCCACAACAACTGCGTGGCAGCATTACTCAAATCACGAAAAGTAAATCCTCTGCCTGTATGTTAAGATTTTACATTTTAGTTCATTCATATGGTAGGTCATTTGCCTTATTATAAATGATAAATATTATTTGTCTAACGAACATGTAAACTTCATCTCTAGCAACATTATATTGACCCTGAATTCGACCTCTCATCCAGCGTGTCTGTGAGTTTGTTGTTGGCCACCTCCATTGTCCTGCTGTACCTTCTGTACACGAACCTCTTTGGCAAGGAGAGCTGGGAGAAATATGGCGTCAAGCAGGTCAGCTTGGGCAGGCTGGCTATGGCTGACTTCAGGTAGGTAATAAGAATCTTAAGGAATAGCGAGATTGCCAAATAAGATAACATATCAAGAAAGTATACTAAGACTTAAAATTTGGGACACCCATTTAAAATGTTATGGGACGTTGTGGTCGGATGGTAGAGTATACGACTGCTAACCCGGAAGTCTAAATATCCTATCCCAGCTTGTGTCAGTAGAACGTCAAAGAGTTTACCCAGTTCTGTTAAGTACCTGACTTACGTAAAAACTAACGTTAGAAAGTAAAGG